ACCGACGAAATGGCCATCAGTTGTGACAAAGACAAATAAAAATATTTTCTATTTATTTACAGCACAGAAATATGAAAGATTTAACAATGTTTACGTACTTAGTGCATCAAAATCAATCTCATAATCATCAGAACTTTCTTCACGTTTTTTACTAGCTAAATATGCTAATGATTTACAAATTGTACTGCTAGCTATAGTATAGTGTGCTGGTAAAATAAACTCCAGTAAAAATGGCCACAATACCTAAGAAAGTAAAGAGATAAATACCATTTGAAGTAAATGAATACTATATTTTCATTTTCAGTAAGTAGTTTTAAAATAACGACAGGATTTTTTAAAATTGGACAAGGAACACATTTCTCTAGATTTTTAGTGAGAATTTTCATAAATTTGACTAAAAAAAAACATTGGACCTACGAAAAAATCAGAATGCCCCTTTAATGCAATTTGGATTTCTTCTAGGCACGACTATGATTGTAAAAATAACATTTCAAAGTCATATAACTTGCATCTATGAAGAGTATGTTATTTGATGTCATTTGCTAAGGACCACTTGACCAGCCTCTCAGCTATTAATATGGTTGATAGTATGGCCGCTAAAGAATAAGAGTCAATGTGCTTTCTTACCATTTCCATATCATCTATAGTGGTAGTAATTAATTGTAATATATTATTACACATTAATCTTAAAGCTTTATTACTAACATATTCTGGATCAGCTGATTTCTTACCAGGCTATAAATATAACATTCTCAGATAATTTCTAACATCAGACACATCATAAGATACAATACTAATAACTAATAAACTGACTGGAATTGGACCCAATTGGCTGGTAAACAAAAACTTAAATATTACTATACTTCATGTGTTATTACTTGTAATTAGAACATGCCATGTATCATAAATAAACTATGTCATGTTTCATAAAAAAATCTTATATCATGTATCATAAATAGCCTTATAATTTATCATGTATCATAAAAAACCTTATAATTTATCATGTATCATAAATAAACCTTATAATTTATAATGTATCATAAATAAACCTTATATCATGTATCATAAAGAAAAAGCAACTTATCATGATATATGATACATAAGATATTAAAACCCTATCATGAGAAACATAGTCAAAATTACTCACTGGATCATCAGGTAATGAACACTGTCTAACAATAAATTCTATCATTAATTGTCCACCTTCTAATTCTAAATAACCATGATGAGCCATAGCTATTACTACTTGAGCAAACACTTTACGAATCTGAAAAAAAAGTTACAGAAACTTACGGTGGCTCACATACAACATGTTTCACTTTTAATTTTGAATTAGAAACATAAATTATCACCTAGGTGAAAATTAAGTGATAATTTGTGTAATTTTTAATTAAAACCTTTAATTTTCATCTAGGTGATAATAATTTCCACCTAGGTGATAATACAACGAATCTTGCAAAGAACAGCAAAAATAAAGTTTTTAATTCAAAATTACAGGAATTATCACCTAATTTTCACCTAGGTGAAAATAATTATCACCTAGGTGGAAATTAGAGTTTTTAATTCAAAATAAAAAGTGAAAAATATTTTATGCGAGCCACTGTAGAAACATAATAAAAGTACAGTTTTTGTTTCGTCAGAACAGAAGACACATAACAAAATGTGTTGATGTAGAGTCCATATCTTTTATTGAGAACAATTTAACATGTAAAGTTACAAATTGCGAATAAAAAACAAATTCCTAGACAGACGTGCAAATCAGCTTACTTTATTATTTTGTTCATTACATATGCCTTTCAGCCCAGAAACAATGACTTCTTTCTTATCTTCCATACTGGATTCTAAAACAAAAAAACAGATATTAACTTTTGTATCTGGCTAAACCATAAAATAATATTTTGTTTTCAAATTAGTGAATAATATTACTAATTTTTATTCATCACAATTCATTAGCTATGCTCTATTTGTGACCATTTTCCTAAAGATTTGAACAATATTTTTCATGAATTGTCTACTTGGTCTATTATTTACAGGTGTAAAAGAATGGTGATACCTGAAGAATTGATCAGATGCTTGAATATAGATAAGATACCAATTTTAGTTTTTTCATTGTTATTCTCTAATCTAGATAACAATATTCCTACTAATTTACCAGAGTAGGCTCTTGCTGAAATAAAATAACCAAAATCAAACTAAGTTAGAGGCATGCACTTTATGTATTCACTTCAGTCAACAGCAATAAGGAGCAAAATAATTTATCAAAAGTCATCAGGGTTTTGTTATCATCAGTAAAACTCAAATCAAACATATTTCTGATTTTTTTAACGGGTTATCTATACCCATTTATAGCTGGGTTGACTGGGATTATAAGTGAAGATGACTAACCATTCAAAGATAATGAAAAGAATCATATTCAAAAACTTACCTAAAATAGTAAAACATCTCAGAACTTCATTATGATTTTTTATACTTAAAGGATTCGTGTAGTCAATAGCAATAAACATCTGAAAATAAAATATAACAATTAGACCAGGTATATTTCAAATATATATTTCTATATTACATACTTCAATTAATCAAATCTCACATACAGATCACTTCCAAAGCAACAATAAGCCTGTTTCCTGATCCCTTTCAGTTATTGAATAAAATATTGTTTTTTTACAAAAAAAAATTCTAAATATTACCTGGCCAAATAAGACTGCCATTAGATTATCAAAATATACATCTAATACAGTACTTCCTTCATAACATACTGCATCCAATATCATACTTAACCCCTATAAAATATCAATAACTTATCATGTATCATACATAAACACTATAAAATATTAATAACTTATCATGTATCATACATAATCCCTATAAAATATCAATAACTTATCATGTATCATACATAACCCCTATAAAATATCAATAACTTTATTATGTATCATACATAACCTCTTTTAAAATATCAATAACTTATCATGTATCATACATAACCCCTATAAAATAATTTTATATAACTTCTCATGTATCATACATAACCCCTATAAAATATCAATGTCATGTACATGTATATGAAACTGCATAAACTACTTATCATGTATCATATCATACAGTGTATTATAATCTAATCATAATTTAATCATATATCATATATAAACCCTCTGTAACATTGGCATATCCATATCATGTATCATATGTAAACTTTATGATGTAAGTATGTAGGCTCATAATGGAAAAAAAACAACCAATAAATAAACCAGTACCTGTGTTATGTGAAATGGTTCAGGATGTTTTTTATACAATCCCATGATTCCTTGTAACATACGTGGTAATTGTTCTTCTAGCTTATCTTGATCCATAATATGACACATGTGACCTAATGCTTCAATTATAGCTAATCTCAACTGAAATACAAAGAAGTATCTATTTAAACTCAAATCAACTATCTATCATTGACAAATGCTTTTAATTGATTTCGTCATAATATTTCTGGATATGCTATACTGAAACATCTGAACGAAAGTTATTTTTTTCACTTGATCAAAAAAATTTTCAGTCTGCAATTGTACACTCCATTTTTTTTTCATCATATCTGCTAGCAACACCTTTACCTTTTGATCAAGGGTATCATAATATCCAGCCAGAACATGTTTAGCTCTATTGCCACAAGTTTCAGGAATCACAAAGGATCGTGTTGATTTTCAATGTTTTGGGTCAGTATTTGAATTTTAGATACCTTTGCTTCCTTGGACTGTAACCAGACATTAAAAAGAATATCATAAGCTGAAAATATTTCTCCTGAAAACCTGTCTTTAGATATGGTAGGATCAGGTGCTTTCTCTATATTAGCTACATATTCTAATATAGCTTCACTGAACTTGGACAGAGCTAAAATATCAAAATATATATACTTTCATTAGTAAGCTATGATATAGCCACTCCTTGATGCTTTTTGCATATTGCTTTTAATATGTATCAGAGATAATTTTCAAAATATTAATATAAATCCTGAATCCAAGAGTTTACGAGATAATACAATACATGGTAAATATGGTTCCATACTAAAAACAGACAAATTAACTTACCAGCAGAAAAGACCCATCTCATATTGTCATGTTTAGCCATTCCTAGCATTGGTAACATTGTACCTAATACAGCTGTCAGATGAGGTACCATTCTGTACACTACAAATAAACCAAATGAATCCTTTGTTAAGAAACAGTAACATAGCTTCTTGGAATATGTTTTTCAAAACCTTTACTGGCTTGAAACATCCAAATCTATTTGCAAATTTACTTGCATGAATGAAAAATTCTTACCATTAGCTGATGCCAAGTTTCCCATAGTTTGTAAGACAAAGAAATGAGGTAATGTTCCAGGCTGAAATTTCTCCAGTAATTCTCCCATAACTTCATCACAGAATTTCGTTCCTATAGCAACCATTACTCCACTAGCTGCTGTCTGCCATGCTGGTTCTACATCCTGTGGACCAAAGAATATTTCTCAAACTTGCACATATTTCTCCATTCAAAAGATTTGAAAAATATAACCCGTTTTACACGCTACTAAGCAGTACTACAAAGACAACGTTTTTTTTTATCAATTCCAAATATATTGCTGGTAGTTCAAAAATTTACACTTACTTTTGTCTGTGTTAGCTCTTGTGAGGCTTGATGTATCAAATCATTGGCTATAGCAGCATCTAATGAATCTAGAGTTTCTTTAACAATTCTCTCTATAGCATTTAATATCACAACTCTGTGATCTAAGGAGAGCTGAAAACAAACATTATCTATTAGGGCATGAATTTTTATATTGTAGGATAATTCTGTTTTCAACAACTACATGACTGCCAATCTGTTAAAAATATACAAAAGGAGGTTACAGATGAAGTTGTTATTTGTTACATGCTTTATACCAACAAGTTTTTTTTTCCAATGTTTAACTGTGCGTGATTTACCTTATTGTGTTTCTTTAGGTAGACATTACAAGAACTGAGGACTAAATGTGGTCGCTTCTTTCCCAATTCCAACAATGAATTAGCAATAATCTCTTGCACAGATTCATCTTTGTCATGTGCAGCATCAATAAGGGCCATGGTCATATCTGCAAGATCAGAATGTGTTTCATTTATATTTTTATGTAAAGTCGTCTCAATCAGTATTTGTAGATCTAAATATACAATCATTAAACTTTGTGCATGTCAGTACGGAAGCCAATAATATTGGCTATATTTGAGATTTCTGCAAATCCTGGAGTCAGTGGAGTGTCTGGCCTCAAGGACAGACATTGAATACAATAATGTTTAAAAACCTTTGATATTCAACTCCACAAAATTGATATTGATTATGTGAACAGTAATCATATCAGGAAATAAAGCGAGAAAGATGTGTCATTTTCATTTGTATGATCAGAAATTGACAGAATTGAAAGCTCAAAAGACTAAAACATTCGCCGATTCGTTGCAATTTTCTGCTTAGTTTTGAGAATCAATCAGAAAAAAAGATACAAACCATCAACCTGGCCCCCGGTTGTATGAACGGAATCTCCATCCGTGCCTGGCATTATCATGGGATTATCATAAAGTGAATTTTTGCGGGTACTTGTCAAAATATAATTTCTTGTGATCTGTTGTAAACCACTGTCATGTGATTTCGTGACCCGGAAGTTTACTCCTCAAGGCTATAGAAGTAATTGACCAATGAAAACACTTTTGGTTTAGTCTAGATTGTTTGGACTGACAATTATTAGGACGAAAAATGGTTAATTGTATAGCTGTATCTCTTTCCCCGGTATCAATTTTTCTGCATTACGTTAAAAAATTAAATCTATTTCATGTGATCTATAAAGAACGTTTCGAAATAAGATTCAATAAAGTCACAAAGGCATTTATTGGAATCATTGAGAGACTTGATAATCGAACCGATTATCTCATTCATTTCTCAAAATATAAACAAACGCACGTGAGTATTTAGGCTGAGTTCCCATAGAAGTATACTTTTCGGGTATACGGTGCACGTTTTGCACGACACGCGTATACCTCAAATCGAACAAGGTAATTTCATAATACCTGGTCACATAAGAGGACACTAATCGAAAACGAAGTTTACGAGTAGAGTGTAGTATAGTGAGAATCGTGCTTGTTCGATTTGCAAGTAGTGTATACAGCCACGGCTAGTAGGACGTGTCCATTTGATAGGTACAGAAAGAAAGAATCCAGTAGGTTGCACGTGCTGTCCTATGTGATTCGTCGTGTCCGTATAGCGAATACCGAGTAGCGTATACCGAATACCATATACGATATACCGTATACTTCTATCTGCACTCAGCCTAAAGGAACTGCGTGATGTTAATTTTTAAATTAAAATCGACAGTAATAGATCTTTATATGAGATATTTTACATACCGCTACGTAATTGGTCATATTGATCGACAGTTCTAGTCAGTCAGACAGGATATCTGAGCACTTTCCATTGGAAATTTCATCTGGAAAGTTTGAGGCTTGTTACAGAGGAAGGCAGGTTGCATGCGTATGAAACACAATTGCGATTATTTTGTGAACATTGGCATTGTGTATAGGTTGAAGGATGGGTTGAAACTGGAGATTGAAAATTTATGGGTTCAAAAGTGACATCGCACTTGTCATCACTGTACACAGCTGCAGAGCCGAGGAGCCATCTCAATATATTGCACTGGACAGCTGTATATGTGTTACATTCCCAATTAAATTGCGTACCGTATCGGTACTGGGGTTTATTGGATAAGGATAACATTTTTGTTGTTGCTTTTAGTTATTTTATTTCATTAATTACGCCTTTTTCTATTCATCTCAGCTGCCCTATTTGCCATTTCTCCCTGTAAAAGAAATGTAACAATAATGATTGAGATATATATCTCGATCCTATCTGATACTTAACAAGCTGATAATCATATAGTTTATGCACTACCATATGAAATTTAATTCAACAAAGATCATTTTCAGTCCATTTACAGAAATGATTTCATATTAAAAAAAATTGGATCACACGATTGCAGACAGTTCTATTTCAAATATTTTTTTTTGTGTGAAAATTTGACCACACACATAAAAATTGTCAAAGTTCCTATAACGAATCAAAATGTCATTGAAATGAATGTTGGACGGAATCGCATGGTATCAATTATCAGACAGAGGTTTATATATATCATATTTTGTTGAATAAATGGAATAGATCAACGGCTATTTTTACCTCCTCTAGTAATAATAGTAATTGTGACAGGATCAGATGTGTCTATACCATCACTCACAGCTACATCAATCTTAAACGTCGTCTGTCTCGGTAGCTGTACCCCTTTCTTGACTGATATTACCCCGGCTGAAATTATAAGAGTAATGTAGTAATGTAGGCCTACTGAGCTTGTATAGAATCTTCAAATCAATGGACGTAAACTGACAGCACTGCCCTTTTTCGAAAGTTTTGGAAACAAAAACCATGAAAATACATTTTTTTTTTTAAACCTTTAAACGAATTTTAAAGATGGGTTTCCTTATTTTGTAGTGTCAAATTAAGCAAACTATTTTATGAATTGGTGCTTCTAATGAATTATCATGTATTCTTAATCATATCATTATGTTCTTATTGCATATAATCCAATCATAAATGTCCATGTATGTACAGTCTGGATAAACAAAAAAAAAAAGACTTTTTGACCTTTCTTGATAGGTCACTCATTGGAATTCTGCTGGTAATTCTCTTCTTATTTAGCTAATTATGAATTAATTGTGAGACAAATTGGTATTTTTTCAAGTCATTAGAACACCTCTACTTTCTATTCATAAAAGTATTAGCATTTTCATTTTTATAAATAAAAAAAGTGGGAACCCATCTTTAAGAAGTTTATGTAATGTTCCATCATCGTAGCTCTACAAGTTATTTCAACTAAAAAATGGAGAATTGGCAACATCGAAATGCACTATGAATTTAGGTTTGAAGATTTTACGAACTGGTGCATGTCGCTCATCAAATGACGTTCGTTCGTTGAAAATATGGAGTGGAGCATATAAATTGGAATAGCATGTCTATTTTAATTGGATACCTACTAGTTGAATCAAGCTTAAATAACTGTTCTCCTTCACTTGGGGTCCATTTTACAACTTGATAGATCAATGGCGGGTAATCTGGATCCATGGCCCTGACTACAATTATTTCACCTTTTTTCCTTATTCCAATTTTCTTTCCATATCTAATGTTAAATATCACTGGCGCATGGTTTTCTGGTGGTGCCATAAACACTAGAAAAAAAACACCACCTCATCTACATTGAACTGTTCAAAGCTGCTCTTTAATTTTTTGTTTATTCAACCAAAATAGAAAATGGATGATTAATTTTGCCTTAGGCCCAAAATCATTGTAACTCTATAGTTATATTGAGTTTCGCTTGCTTTGCTTTGATAACACCCATTCCGAAATGAATGGGATTTTACAAACTACTTTTCTGCTCTTGAGTGATTTGTAATTTGCTGCATTCTGTAACGTTCATTCCATAATCAACTGTCCCGATGAGGATTTTTTTTTATCCGAAACACATGTAAGCCTACCCTGCATGAAATGAGCTGCTACTGCAATATAATGACAATTTATACAATCCTTTACAACTTACCCGGTGCTGTTTCAACTGAGGAATGTGTTAAATAAGTCAGCAAGATTATCCCCAAAGATATCTGCACAATTTTCATTATGATCTTGACTTATGCCGTCAGTCAAACAGTCTGGACTTTTGAAGTTTTAACATAAATCAAAGGGAAATTAAATTAAATTTTTGCATTGAAATGATTAATTTGTTGCTGTCTGTAACAGCTTTTTATTGTAATTCCAATAGTATTGTAATTTGTCCATTCATTTTTAACTTCAGTCAATATATTATAAAGTGTGACATATGAAAGAAATATTTTAATTACTATATATTGGAATAGATCGATGGGTTTTAGGTCATATATTAATTAAAAATTTAATAATGCCAATCTGAGTTATGGAATACAATATATTAGAAGTATTTAAAAGTAGGCCTATTCAACAAAGTATATACAACAATAAAATATTTCCACTGTTAAGAGTGTTCATACAATATAGAAATATTCCAGACGAACAAATCCCTGTAAATTCAGATAACATCATAAACAACTGTGGTCTGACATTATAATGATTACGCCCCTTTATGCAAACTCTTATTGTAACGAGGTAATTTTAGTGATAAACATTTGCACGTGTAGTAAGTTTGTAAACATTGAACAATTTTGACAAGATGGTTAAAGCAAAGCCTACAAAATTCCAAAGTAAAAAATCATTCAAAAATACCACCAAACCAATAAGACATAAAATGTCACCTAAAGATGGGAAAATCAGAAAAAATAAATCATTGAATAAAAAATTAATGAGAGAGAAGGACTTTGAAAACGATCACGAGAAACAAAACAAAAACAACCATCTTGGAAAAAATGCAAAGTCAAAAGCAAATAGCAAGAAGGAAAAGAATGGATCTTTGAGAAATCAGAATAGAAAAGTTGAAGATGAAGATGAAAGAGAAATGGAAGTAGTTTCAGATACATTTAAATCTAAAGTAAGTACCAAATGGGCCTGATCATAGTTAATAATTGAACCCAAGTACTAGTACTAAAAGTGATAATATTTACCTCAGAAAGTGTGATGGAGAAACAATTGGATTCTTTTGAGTGAAAAGGATGTCAGGTTGATATAGTAAGCCATAGAAGGTTCAAGAAGAGTGAGCATACACTGCCTTGGTTCTGTACTGTAGACCTACTCAGGCATGTGCTAAGATCTTATTTGTTTCTATTTTTAAAAGGTAAAGGATAATGAAGAAAATAATGATTTTGATGAAAGTGATGATGATTATGATGATGAGGTATCAAATACAAGAGATTTAGTTAGAAGTCAAAATAGAAAGAAAAAGAAATCTGGAGGTTTTCAGTCTATGGGTCTGTATATTTTGTCATTTAAGAAATGACTCGAATCAATCTAAGCCTTGAGGCAAGATCAATTTAATTTGATGACTTACTTTGATATGATCTGTAGAGATTACGATAGTTTAAATTCATTATGTTAAATTTGTTTAAATTTTAGGATTATCAACTAATACTTTTAAAGGTATTCAACATAAAGGCTATAAAATACCAACACCAATTCAAAGAAAGGTAAGTATAGGTTCTACTGGACTTTTCCTTAATTGTTAGTAGAAGGGAAGAATGTATGAAGTATTTCAAAAGACATTGTTTTATTATTGTAATATTGACATAATGGTAGTTTATTGACTTATTGATTCAGAGTGGGCAACCTATATCAATATTCATGAGGTTTCTGTCTATTTCAGACCATACCTATTATTATGAATGGTAAAGATGTAGTAGCAATGGCTAGAACAGGTAGTGGAAAAACTGCAGCTTTCTTGATTCCACTGTTTGAGCAGTTAAAGATTCACTCATCAAATGGAGCTAGAGCTATGATTATGTCACCTACTAGAGAGTTAGCTTTACAAACATTAAAGTTTACTAAAGAGGTGAGTGTTTTGTGAATAATATTATGTATGAACCTTCTCGATATAACCATAAGGTTTATGTAGTTTAAGTGGAATTGTAAGATTCTCACCCATCTGGAAATTGGGATGGGGAAAGTCTATGCTATCAGTGTCCGCCCATACACAGCTCCGTTGCCAGGAATGAATTGATGCTGGGGCTCAGATTTTGTACTCAGAAAATTTCTGATTTCTGATAATTGTGAAGTGCCAAAAACTATATCTGTTAGATTTTGTACAAATGAAATGAAGATGGTTTTGCTGGGGCTTAATTCTCAGTTGCTGGGGCCCAGCCCCCATGGACCCCACCCTAACAATGGTGCTGCCCATTACATTAAAAAACTATCTTAATAATTAATTCTTTTGATAACAATAAAATACGCACTATGCATGAAATTTTTTTTCTGGAAAGCAGTAAATCAAAAAAAAGCAGACACAGATATTATAAGGAAGTAAATTTTTGATATTCAATTTTTTTTGTAGATTGGAAAACACACTGATCTTAGAGCAGCAGTCATATTGGGTGGTGATAGGTGAGAGAAAGATATTTTTTGCTTTTGGTTTTATCCTTTTATGTATCTTTTGTTGGCTTGCCATTTATTCAGCTTATGCTTACACTTTCTTTTGGTTTACAAGAAGTTTTGATTTCAGCTTAATATGTTCAATAAGGCACTGAGATATTTCAACTTGTTTGATTTATTAATTTTGTTCTAATTTTTTTCTAGAATGGAATATCAGTTTTCAGCTCTTCATGAAAATCCTGATATGTAAGTTAAATTATTTTTACTATAACTGTTATGATATTTTGGATTTCTGTAGCATCAATGGTTCAGCTTCTCTGGACTGAAGATCTGGTCTGAAGTCTTGATCAGGTTACCATGTCACTTACCATTTTATTCAAATCAGATGAGAAATGGGAATTGTGCAAATAGCTTTATTGTAAGTATCCAGAGGCTAGAAAATACCTTTCAAACAGATATGTCTTTGATATACTTTTGTTTTGATGTTTCAGAATAATCGCCACACCAGGAAGATTTCTACATGTTACCATGGAGATGAATTTAAAATTAAAATCAATGGAATATGTAGTATTTGATGAGGCTGACAGGTATGAGATTTTTGATAATTTAAGTCAGTAAGGAATTTAGTCTGATAAAAGTAACCTGCTGCCACACAACTTAGTCCAAGTGACCAATATTGAGGCGTCACAAAGGTAAATATGGCTTAAAAATCGATGACAAATACATGTATTTTCTAGTTATTTACTATCTATGTTATAGGAAGGTTATTGTCACAATTAATATTTAAAAGGGATACACTCCAAATCTGGGAACTTGAGGTCAGATTTTAATTTTTGAAAGTGCTACAGATAATTCAGAGCTATCAGAAAAGAAAATCTAACATTATATCCTTTAATTTGTTTTGATTATTGTAGATTATTTGAAATGGGATTTCAAGAACAGTTACATGAAATTATACATAGATTACCTGAATCACGTCAAACTTTATTATTCTCTGCTACCTTACCTAAACAATTAGTAGAGTTTGCTAAAGCTGGTTTAAATGATCCCACATTGATACGCTTAGATGTTGATAATAAACTCAGTGAACATTTACAAGTAAGCTTTCTATTATTTTCATTTTTGTCTGACAGGCAATATAGACTTTTGTTTTGCTGTGTTGATCTCATGGTTGTATGTTGTGATATTTTGGTGAATGTCAAGGTGACCAATGCTCCTTTTTGCCCAACATGATTAGTTAAACTGATCACTAGTTTTTTTTGAAAATGTATACTTGATTTGCAGTCATCCTGAAGAATTCACTGAAGTCACAAGGGAATTTCTACATAAGACTTGTTTATTGGGTTATCTTTTATTTAATACATAAATGCTTGTAACTTTTTATTTTAAAGTGTTTTTTTTCTTAATATCTGATCTATTTTTTATTGTGTTTATATTTTACTTTTTAGACTGTATATATATCATGTAGATCAGATGATAAACCTGCATTATTAATTAATCTATTACAAAATATTATACCAACTAAAGAACAGTGTTTTATATTTGCTGCTACCAAACATCATGTAGAATATCTTCAGTTGGTAAGTCTGTAAATCAAACAACCAATATAAAGATACAGTATATTTTTTTGATAAAAAATTGTTCTTCTAAAATAATTTTCAAGCGGCCTATTTCGACTGTTATAGTTTCAATTTCTATTCATTATACCCAAAAATTAAGTGGACTGCTGTTTTCAAATTGGACTGAGATGTTATAATATTATTAAATTATATCACAAATTCCCAAAAAGGGGAAAACAATTAAAACTATATTATTGTCCTGTTATTTGACGTTTCGGCTAACTGCCTTCTTCAGAAACACCCAAAATTCTTTATTTCTTTACTTTAAATAGTTAGTAAAATAACGGAATAAGATGTGATCGAGATCTATTTTGGGTGTTTCTGAAGAAGGCAGTAAGCAGTAACGTCAAATAACAGGACAGTTATAATATTATTGTTCTACTATGCATTTAAACATTTTTGAGGCATGTTGTTCTAATAGCCATATAGGGCACTTTATCTGTTTGATCTTTAAGACTTATGCCTAATGCATACAATGAAATATTAAAACAGAAGCTGAAACATGTTGTTACTCGAGATTCTTAAAAGATTTCTATATGGCTTTGATTTATTGAGCGCTATTTCCACAGTGACAAAATTTTGTTTATGCACCAACCAATTTTATTGACATGAATCTTGATTTATTTTTTCAGATTTTAGAGAAAGCTGGTATTAGTTGTAGTTATATCTATAGTTCATTAGATCCGACAGCTAGAAAGATAGCAGTTGGCAAGTTTCAGATGAAGAAAGTAAGAGTTATGATAGTAACTGATCTAGCAGCTCGTGGAATTGATATACCAATGTTAGACAACGTTATTAATTATAACTTTCCTGCCAAATCTAAATTATTTGTACACAGAGTTGGTAAGATATTTTCAAGTTAACTGTATATTTTGATGTGTGCAAAGAAACTGTTTTGTATTAATTTTGGGGAAATTCAACAGAGTTTTTGCTGGTAAAACTGCAATCGCTCAAAATCTAAAATGTTGCTCGAATTCTAAAACTTTGGTTATATTTTTGCTCAATATCTAAAATATGATATGTTTTCAAAATCTAAAAATTTTATTAATGTGTTTGTTAAAATTATGTACAGCAAATTTGAAATATTTTTGACAATCTTTTATTTAAATCACAGGTCGTGTAGCTAGGGCAGGAAGAACTGGTACAGCATTCTCCATTATTTCTCCTGATGAAGTACAATTTTTAGTTGATTTACATGTTTTTCTTGGTCGGCCATTAAAACTAGTCACAGGCAATCAACAACATGATGGTAATTCTTTTTTTTCAATTGTTATCCATTTCATTTTACAGGGGATAAAGGGTATGGGCCAATTAAAAAAGAACCAAAATTGTGTTAAGTTCTTTCTCCTTTTGTTTATTGATTTATCAATTTTACCATGTGCCTCTCTAAGATGCTTATAAAACATGCATTAATTCAGACAGATGATTATAAGTGATTCTCCTGTAGAAAATCAGTAGCATGGTACAATTTTTGAATAAGGTTGACAAAAAAGGCTTATTCTAAATTTTTTGATTGAGGTTTATATAAGCTTTTTGAATTTGATCAGAGCAGTCATTGTGGAAGTAGATCAAGCTTGTAAGAAAACTTCAGAAATAAATGTACTATTATTTTGTAGATGAAGATGGTTTATATGGTACTTATCCCAGAAATTTTCTAGATTCTGATATTTTGATGTTACGACAGTGGCATTCAGAATCTTTGGACTTGGTAAGAATTTTTTTTTTTTTTAATTATCAGAGTTTAGCCAATTAAATAAAAATATCACAAGGATTTTAGAAAGCCTAAGCATTGTAAGTCGTTTAAAGAACACTTTATTTGTTTTAGAATGAAATGAAGAGAGTATGTGGTAATGCTTACAAACAATATCTACGTTCTAGACCTAACCCAGCACCAGAATCTGTTAAAAGAGTGAAACAGATGGAGAGTGATGGTATTATACTAGGAGTTCATCCTTGTTACAGTAAGTACTATAAATTACATACTAATAGAAAGAAAAAACAAGGATGCAGACTTGAATCCCATTTCACAAAAAAGAATTGAATAGAACTGACAAATTTTTATCTTATGATAAAAGATTTGTTAGGAACGGGGTCCAGATGAAAATAATCGGTAAACTTTGGAAATTGCTAGTTTCAATTTTGTAAAATTTAAATTATAATGAGTCTATTGATTGTATTAACAATTTGAACACCGATTGTCATATACCCTACCAAGTAATTATCATTTATTTAAGTTCGTTACTTCTTTTTATTTCAGAATCTAAAACAGATTCAGATGATGCTGAGCAACAGAAATTATTAAATGCTTTAAAATCTTATAAGAGCAGATCAGTAAGTTTTTTTTTTTACACATATTACTGGAATTCTTAGTTGTGTATAGGATAAAACTTGTAAATTTTTCTCTTTCGAATCTATAATTTGAACAATAATTTATTAACCAATCTGAATATATGAATCAATATGTGAATATCCCCAAATTCCTATGTGTAACAGGCAATGCTTAAAGTTATCAGAACTTTGAATAGTTGCAATAATAAGTGACTTAGAACTTGTGATGCATACCTATTTCGTCAGATCATGGATGGAGAGTGTAGTAATCAGCCATAACACAAAAACATATTCTGTTTGAATTGAAATAGTTTTCATGTTGAAATCCATAGTCTCTACTTGTGAACTAAGCCAGTGCTTCTATAGGAGAGTATCTTCTATAACACCTATAACAAAATAAATCATCTAGGTCTGTATTTTTTATCCCTGTCTTAATTAGCCCATAAGGTACAGAAAAGTTGAACCTAAAACTCCATTTATTTCATTTGTATTATTTTCATATTGTGGTTCTAATGAGGTAAAAATAATAACATTTTGCTGTACTAATAGTAATGTTTAATATTGTTGATAGACTGTATTTGAAATGAATATAACTGGGAAATGTAAAAGTCATGATATTATGAAAGAAAAGAGAGCTAAACATCAAGCTGTTATATCAACAACTACACAGAAAACAACTCAAAATAAACTAGACAGAGAGTTAGTTAATACTAGATCTGGTAGTAATAAACAGGACAGTCAGGCTAATGCTGAAGAAGTTCAGGTAAATATTGTGAAACTCTTTATACAGTGTAAAAACATAATTCGCTATTTTTTTTGACCAATCAAACCTCAGTCTCTGAAACAGGAATTTTTTAGCTAAGCTAATTAAAAGTAATATTGTCCTCAGCTCACCGTCGAAATTTGAGCCTTCAAATTCATGTGTGTCCAGAATTATCCGCTTTTGAAAGTTTAAAAGACTGCTTGTCTTTTCTTGAGACTCATATAGAAAAAAGACATATATAGAAATAGTGAGTAAAATTCCTAGTTTGAGTTATTTTTGAAAGAATAATGCAATTTTAGTATATTTCTAGTACTTCTGAAGACTATTTACATATATTCAGGACCCAAATCAGCCCGTCTCTTTAAGCATTTGAAGCTCGCTGTTACCTATTAGTGACATCATATACAATTGAAAGATTTGTATTATTTCAGTCAGTATTTAGTACAGTTATTGATGGTAAACCATCATCTAAATATGATATGAATAGAAAGAAGAAGAAAAGAGATAGAATAGGAAGAGATGAAGAAAACTATTTATCTTATCAACCTGCTGATTACCAGTCGGAGAAAGGGTCAGTAGATTTACAATTAGTCATTTTCTTACCAAAGCAATAGCATTACAAAGACACTTAAATCTTCTTGGGGACACTGATGGCTTAAATTTGCACCATTTCAAATTTCTTGTAATTCGGTTAAATAAAGTCACTATCGCAAAGACCCTTATTTCAAATTCTTAGTTTTTGTGGAATTACAAGAGCTAAAGACATCGGAATGAAATTTGGAATGGTGCAAATCAATGCTATCAGTGTCAACATATACATATAACTTTTTTTGAAAACCTCTGTAAAATCCCTTTGTGTAACAAATGGAAAAACAAATATATGGAATACTATATCCATTAAAAATGATATAAGATGTCATGGTTTCAAAAATTCAGTTTATCATTGGTATATTGCTAAAACAACATTATAATTATATATTTTAGATTAAGTTTGGGAGGATTTGAGCGGGAAGTAGCAGGAGCAGAAATTGAAATAGTTGGTGATGATATAGATACTATTAGAAATCAACGTGTACAATCTAAGTGGGATAGAAAGAGAAAAAGATTTGTTAAAGATGGTGGTGGTGATCCAAATAAAAAGAAAATACGGACTGAAAGTGGAGCCTGGATTCCCGCTTCTTATAAATCTAGTGTATATCCTTTTCAAATTTGGTCAAAAAATATGGTTTTGATGACATTAATATTAAAGTTTCATGCATCTCTATTTAGTCAGATTTTAATTTTGATATACTTATAAGTAATCAAGAAAAAATAATATAAAAACATATAGAAAGGTATAGTATACTCACAATTTAAGAACACCTGATACCACTTTTAGTTTGTCAACATAGCATTCCTCTTTGAGAATGTGCAGTTGTTATTTTGCAGTTTTACTCCTGTTACGTTCCTGTGTTATAAACCTATAGATATTTTGTATAAGTCTAAGATTGAATTAATTTGATTGGTTTAATTGAGTGAATTTTTTGTCCTTAATGAATGTTTACTTATGATGAATGGAAGAAGAAGAATAAAATAGAAGATAATGTCAATGATCATAATGAAGATAAACAAGATCATAAACAATTTACTGTCATGGGAACAGCCAAACGATGTAAGAATTTGTTCAAATTTGGTTTTTGGTAATATTTTCCCAATAAATAACCAACTGTTTTGGGATCTCGAAATGAGCAAAAGGTTACATGGGTCACAGGGCCTAGACATTACTGACAAAGTGAAACTGGAGGCTTGTTAGCAGACGACACTACAAAGAACACTGATCAGTTGCTCAATACGATTTTTAGAACTGGACTAGATGAACGAATTGTACTTCAGATACTACAGGCCTTAAGTTGAAAAAATCTTTGCTTGGATCAAAGTTAGATTTAACGTTAGCAAGCATGTACATTTCAGTTTGCTTAAGGACAGTACTTCTCCGAATATAGCTAAAACTTTCAGGTTAATTACATTGTAATATATTGTGTTTGGTTATTGGCAAAACAGACCCAATGCTTATGGTTAAAATGGAAGTGGTCAAAATGGAAACAAAAATTTGGTCATACATGATAAAATTTGATTTGGCTATTTTTCAGTTCATACCAAAGGAATGAAAAATCATGTGAAAGAAAAACAAAGATTTAAAAAGAGAGAAATAAAAACTAAAGATGAAATATTTAAAGAAAGAAAACGTAAAGAAAAAATACATAATTATGAAAAATATAAACAGAAGAAAGATAAGAAAGGTAAAGCTGGAGGAAAAGGAAGTAAAGGTGGTAAAAGATAAATAATGAACTGTATTTGTAGTGAAATAAATATTATTATATTGTTGAATTGTAGTTTTTATTTGTGTTTATCTAAATTAATTTGTATTGGCCATCTTTAAAAGGTGGATCTAACATTACCCATGTTACGTTGCTTCACTGAATAAGCCGTATAGATCCAATGCCAAGATTGAACTCTTGACCTTCCTGTTAGTGAGCAAGCGTCTAACTCACTTAATTATACCAGAAGGCATCTTCATAATGTCAAGCTATTACAAACTTTGTACTTATACCTTGACTGCATTAGCTACTATTCTTATATCACGGAATGCAGTGATTTGATTGGCGGAAAGGCAGTTATAGCTAGACATTGTGAAGATGACTACAAGGTAGCTTTGTAGTTTAATCATAGTCAGCACAATTACAATAAGTAATTTTTACAAAATTATAATTCAAAATGAAAATATTTTATTTCACCTGATTTAATAAATATAAATTATTACATTCAATTCAATTTGACATATATAGAATATCTATAGACCATTGAATAATATTTATACATACATTATATTACAGAGAAAATTTATCTTAATATCGAAGCATGGTTTTAAATCCATCACAAATACCCACTTTTAAATATTTCAACTCATAATACAGCAATGATGGCACTAATATATTTACAATTTACAATTTGAAAGACAGGCTGCTTCTTGGTTGTTTTGGATCCATTAATTTTCATCTTCAGCCTGCTATAGCCAAAGATTAAGAATTAACACAATTGATCAAGAGTGTTAACCATTATTCCAAGAAAAAATTAAATTCCACAAAGCTACAGCAAGGGCGCCAATAGGTTGCTTAATTTACACACATGAATATATGTTTAAGTTTACCATAAATGCATTTAGAAATATCCGGAGAATGCTATTCAAGATCATGATATTCCATGTTTTAAGTCTTTTGTCTTGATTATCATTCTAAGATATTCCAAGAAGATGCAGCAAGGGTGCCAACAGACTGGTTAATTTGTACACAAATACAGAAACGTACATAAAATATCGACTATCAAATTTCAATGTTTTAAGAGCAGCTTTAAGTCATAATTCTGGCAAGCTTCATTTCAGCTGAAAAGTAAATCATCATCTCCACCATTGTCATTGTCATCCCTCTTTCCAGTAGTTTTTTCATCTTTAGATTTAAACTTCTTCTGTAGTTGACGTTTACGTCTGTAGCTTGATGGTTTAGTATTTCTTTCTACCTGAGCATAGCCTAGGAACAGAAAAGCAAATTTTATTTAAAATGGTAAAATTAATGTGTGGTCAATTTAAATGTTCGGCAATTTAATATTAGGCAATGGCGGATATTTTACCAGGACATTAATAATAGTCGTACAGACATACAAGGTCTTGGTTTTGGTTCCATTCCAATTCCAGCATCTACATCTTTTTGAATGACCTGTTGGATTGACAAGGGAAAACAAAGTTAAAAAATTCAAAGATGCGTTCTTAACCAGTGCTTTGATTATCTAAGTATCATCTGGAAGTATCATGGTTATAAATATACCAAATAAGCAATATTATGTATGTGGACAGGGGATGACAAACCCACTAGTGGCAAGTGGAGCTCAAATTCAATATAGTTTTTGATCTATATTATACCAATTTTCTTTCACTCACATGTTCAATAGAAACTAATATTCTATTCTTATATTTTGATTTTGAAGCATTTTTAGGCTTACCTCTTTCTTGACATTCTTGTGTATCAGGAAATCCAATAGACCAGAAATGTTCGGGTGTTGATGGTGGTATATAGTCTGCTCTGTGTCGTGAACAATCTTGTATACGATTCTGTATTTCTTCATCTGACATACCAGTTAATTTATAATACTGAAAATATAAACATCATTCATTTTTCCTAATTGCCAAACACAACTAATCATAAGGATAAATTTAGACCATCTATGAGGATCCTTTCTACAAGCTGGTCCTCGGCCAAACCTGTTGGAAGTGATCTTTTTTCTGAACAACTGGGTCGATGGGAATATGAGAAATTATAACTTTTATACCCTGATTCAGATTAAAACCCACAACCCCCATTTATTTAACATAACCAAGCTATTGATGTCATACTGTGCCATAGTGTGACCTCATATGCACCAATCAGCCCTGATTGGGATGGCAAATAAATTTAAACCAAAACCTTTGAACTGAACAATTTTACATTTTCTTTTGCTTATTCAAATTTTATTCCAAAAGTGAACATAATATAAATTTTATTTAAAAATTTTGACACTTTACCTCATAACATTCTTTACAACTGTGACCTTTTAATTTTCTTCTTTCATCTTGTTTTTTAACAACTCTAACATGAGCAAATTCTGGTCCTTTCTTACTTGGTACTCTAAAAATATATAAAATTAATATTAGACACTTTGAAAGGGATGCTGGGTTAACAAAACCATATAGACTGTAGTGAAAATCAACAATAAATATTCAGATCTTTGTTATTCCACTTACTTATCAAAACTAGAATCAAAAGATGTATGTTGTACAGCTAGATTATCATCCATTTGTTCTTCTACATCTTCAACTGGATCTTTTAATGTTCTTTCTTGCTCTTCCAGTAAATCTTAAAAATTATAATTATCAAATTAACAATATTCAAAATAATCTATTTTACCAGTCTCAATTTTTACTCAAAATAAACCGTTTTACCAGTCACAATTTTTACTCAAAACAATCTATTTACCGGTCACAATTTTTATTCACAATTTTTACTCAAAACAATCTATTTTACCAGTCACAATTTTTACTCAAAATAATCTATTTTACCAGTCACAATTTTTACTCAAAATAATCTATTTTACCAGTCACAATTTTTACTCAAAATAATCTATTTTACCAGTCACAATTTTTACTCAAAACAATCTTTTTTACCAGTCATAATTTTTACTCAAAACAGTCTATTTTACCAGTCACAATTTTGACTCAAAATAATTTATTTTACCAGTCACAATTTTGACTCAAAACAATCTATTTTACCAGTCACAATTTTGACTCAAAACAATCTTTTTTACCAGTCATAATTTTTACTCAAAACAGTCTATTTTACCAGTCACAATTTTGACTCAAAACAATCTATTTTACCAGTCACAATTTTGACTCAAAACAATCTATTTTACCAGTCACAATTTTTACTCAAAACAATCTTTTTTACCAGTCATAATTTTTACTCAAAACAGTCTATTTTACCAGTCACAATTTTTACTCAAAACAATCTATTTTACCAGTCACAATTTTTACTCAAAACAGTCTATTTTACCAGTCACAATAACTCAAATTATATATACTAAATAAATTGGATACTAATGCTTTGAATATATCGGACTTCTGAGTAAGAAACAGTATGCTTTCTGGCTTTCAAATTTCCTAAAAGCAATTACCAAAAAATAGAATGCTAAGTAGGTTAATTACCATCTTGAGTATCGATGCTAACTTTTCTGCCTCTTCTGGTACCAAATTTATAACTTTTAGAACTAGATGGTAAAATTTGAGATTCTTCAGTAGCTGCCATATCTATAGTGCGTCTGGTTTTTCTTCCCTCTGCTTTGGTTTGAGAGTTGGTCTTCTTCAACTCTGGTGAAGCCTTATAAGGATCACAACTCTCACTGTCTTCACAATATTGAGTCAATGGAACATCAGGAGCTATACTTCTGTTTAATGGTCTTTCTGATTCATCTCCTGACATCTGCTTATCCATAGAATCCAACACACTAGGGGATGGTGCCATTGTTTCATCCATATCATCTAATGATTGGTTACAGCTTATTTTTTTGCTTGCAGACAATGAGTTTCTGGAAACAGATTTTCTGGGAGATCTTCGAAGTGGAATGAGGGGTAAACTATCCATAGAACTTGGAGATGGGCCAACCGTGTCATCGGGGTCAAAAGAAGTGTTGGCTTTTTGTGGTGAAGAGAAATATTTATCTGGTGATGCCATTGGACTTCTCTTTCCACTTGGTTGTCTCTTTCTTGGTGTTGTTTTAGGAGAAAGTGGTTTCTTGAAAATGTCTCCAGATGTTGTATTGGACAACTCTCTTCTCTTCTTATATTCTTGAGAAGTGTTCTGGAATTCCAACAACGACTGCTTAATGGCCTCCTGCATACTTTCTCGTTCCTCATCAGTTTCAAAAGGTGGTGCAGATTGTTTTGGACTACTGGTGAAGACTTGACTGAGAGTGGTTTGCTTAAGATTACTGTTTTCTGTCAAATCAATAGGCATATCTTTAGGTGAAGCCTTCTTTTTAGACTTGCTAGTGCTGTCTGTTTTTTGAGATGACTTCTTTGAAGTGGTCAATTGTTTGTCACCAGTGGTTGCCTTTTTAGTCCTAAGAGATCTTTTTGGTGCTTCATCAAGAGACTTCTCAGATTGAAGCAGTAATGGAGAAGTTGGTTCTTCGCAGTCTTCTATAACAGATGTATTGAATGTTGATTTATCAGATGGCTTTGTGAATACGGGAGAACTTGAAGAGCTTCTTGAATTCTTTGCCTTATCCACATCTAACTTCAGTGGTTGGTGATCCTGCTCTTGTTCTGGGGAAATTGATTCATATTGCATGTTTTTATCACAAAACTTTTTGCTTGGAATGGATTTTTTTCCTTTTTCTGAACATCTTTTGAATTCTTGAGAATCCTTTTTGAACTTGGTCTTAGACAGTTTATTTTTAGATTGTGATTCATTCTGTTGAGATCCATATCTTGATTTCTCTAGTCTGCTGGTATACCCTGAATCACCAAGTTCATCATCTATATTTTCTATACAATCTGTTTCAACTGTTGGTTGAAGTCCACAAACTTCATCTTCACTCATGTCCGAATCAGGACTATTTAGTATATCAGTTGTATGATCTGCATAATTTCTGGATGAATTCAAAGTGGTTGATTTACTTAAGGATTGATTAATGGTTTCAGATTTTGATTTAGACCTGCTTTGCTGAGCAGAGGAAGCTTTCTTGGGTAGGGAACTGGTGTTTTCTGTTTGATTGGTAACAGATGATTTTGAGCTTTTCTTCGTTGGAGTGGTGTTGATTTTCTTAGTAGCATCACATTTTTGCATAGGTGATAGCTTGGCCTTCTGTGTTACTTCATCTTCAGAATTGGATTCCTCCTCGCTAGAAGTATAAATCTCCATTCCTAATGTTTCGGGTACAACCATGGGCCCCTCTTCTTCGTCATCTTCCTCTAACTGACAGATCTGTCGAAACAGGTTTCAGGAGCAAAGTTAGGTCCTGGACTTTTCTTTGACATCTGAAGCTTTCCTTTAGTCTGTTTTTTGGGGGAATTCTTACCAGATGGAATATTGGTATCAGATGTATACTTATCTTTTTTAAGAATCACATTTTCTGATGAATTTTCATCATTTGAGTTAACTTTGATTTTCTTATTGGTTGGAGAAATATCCTGAAAAATTTCAGAAATTTGAAAAAATCTAAAAATAAAAGTATCGTCCTTTCTCATGTCAATTTTGGGAGTTTCAATTGAAACTGAATTGTATAAGTACCTGAATCTATACTGGAACTAACTTAAGTGTGAGCATTTGATCATAGTAACAAAATAGGATACTGGGAATTTTACCTCTTTATATCTAGATCGTTTATTTTTCCGAGCTAATCTAAGTTTATCTCCAGATTTGTTGATTTGTTCATCACTCTCTTCATCTGATTGGTTAAATTTCAGTTGTTTGTTAGTTTTATCTGTTTTTTTATTGGCTGAGCTAACCGTGGAATCAGGACTGTGTTTTTTCTTTAGAGAGTCAGTTTTATCCGACTTGTTGTTGGAGTATGATTTCTGTGGTGTTTTTGACTGAGGTCCTCTGGAAAATTTACATTTTTCAAATTGTTACCATAGATTTGTTGATTTTTGAATATTCGTTTCTTTTTAATTGTAAATGATCTCGAATCTACAGCTTTTGACTGATTTTAAAATTAAAATTTGGTATGTTTATACTTATTCCTACAATGAAGTGAATGGAGTTTTACATCCTACTTTTCTGCACCATATGGGCTAATGAAGACAGACAACGCCATGCAGGGTATAATGAGGGACATTTGGCCAGGACAGCGGCATTAGCCTGCTATTTTTCAATTTCCAACTGTCATGGATTCCTAACTGTCATGGATTCCTAAAGATCAAGTTACTATACATATTGCTTGGTCTGATTTCTTGAGTGTATTTTCTTCCAATGTGTTATTAGATTACCTACTTGTTTGAGGGTTTATTTGATAGATCTGTTAAAGGTAGAGCATATTCACATTTCTTAGATAACTGTTCTTCTGTAAAATAAATAAGGAGAAGATTTAAGATACCGTCAGAATTAATTTAGTATGTTCACAACCCAGTCTCATCATATTAGATGTATATCATAATGCCCTGGAAAAAGTTTTCTTATTGCACACTTCATGCGGTTGCCTGTCATTACTAGCAAAGTAGAAACTATAATAAAATATTTGCACTGTTAAAATAGTGCTACATACAACAATTGTAGAGCGATATAGAAATATTAAAACAGAACCTAAAAAATCATGTTAGTGTTACTCAGAGTTTCACGCTATGCTATCTTCAGACAACTGATCATATAATTCACAACAGTAGAAACTATATAAATTGAATTTTTGAAAACAGATGAAAATATAAAATAACAAAATACAGTGTACTTACTCAGAAATTGGATCATGTTGTCTTTTTCCTGTATTGATAAATTGTAGGCATCTTTAACAACTTTAATAGACTCTCTTAGATGTTCACACATTACACAGTTACTATCTGTTTTATTTTTCAACTTTTCTTCTAATTTCTCTTTTTCCTTCTCATACTTTTCTAACTTTTCCTTTAATCTGAAAAAAAAATGTAAAAACTGTGCAATATTTGTGATTTTCATGCCAAAATTTAGATAAAAACAATATTTATTTACGTAATAGGGTCTTTGGGAAACTGGATTTTGCCTATCCTCTCCTTACATCCCTGGTTCCCAACCTGGGGCATTTTCACCCCCTGGGGGTGTGGCCAACTGGTGCAGAAGAAAATTTATATTGAGTTGAGAGAGCACCTCTCATTATCACATGCTGCAATGTGGATGAAACAAATTGTTGGGGTGTGAAAGGTCGATGTGATTGCTCCAGGGGTGTGAAGGCTAAAATAGGTTGGGAACCACTGCGTTACATGCTTAAATATATCATTGATAATTTCAGAAATTGGGAATTGAAATTCTTGACACTTAAAGCAGAACTGTCGGCAATCCAAAACCCCAAAAATTTGGTCATGCTAGTCAATGGAACCTAAAAGCATGGCATCAAGAGACAAATTCTGCTTTATTACCGCTATAAAATATTTTTAAATTCAACACTCAAACTTAGTAACCAGAATGACAAGTGTTTGGAAAATTAGTGAAATGCTAAACCTACATCCTATTTTCTTCTTCATAGTCTTCACATTTAGATATCCATTCACCAATCTCACCTTGAAATTCTAAAATACAATAAACATTATAAATGTATCAATTATATAAATAGTTAAATAAGTAATCCTCCACACTTACATCTGACAAGTTCCTAACTACCTTTCCAATGACGAGAGATTTGTAGTGCTTAAGCAACATGAAGTATCTCTAAGTTTATTCAACAATCCAAAACTTCCTTAGTTCTTTAACTCACCTTTGACAGTACTCCTATGAATATAGAAAACTTCTTTTAATGCCTGTTCGATGGTAGTTTTACCTGTTCCAGTATTTGTATAACTTATCTCTGATTTCCCACTCATGATTTTAATCTTGATTATGGAACAAATCCTACTGGAAAGAAATAATTCAATAATTCAAGAGGTTTTTAATTTTATGTAAGCATTCTGAAAAAAAAAGAGAGATCTCAAAAAATCATTAAATGATTATGAAATCGAATTATTCAAATGAAATCGAAAGTAGAGTAGGCAAATGAGAGAATATGTGCAAAGTGGTAAAATAACTCACTACTAACGCAAACGAAATCAAATTTTAATGTTTTTTTAACAATACCCTACAAAGTATTACATTAATATAATGATTTTTATCTGTAAACCACATTTAATTAGACAATCAATCAGAGATCAAAGCCAAATCCAACCAAATGCTAATCTGAATCTGGCGCCATGTTTACGTTTTTACAACCGGAAACTAGTCAGGTTTATTTTTAGTAAATAGTTAACTGTTGTCTGGACATGAAAGAAGTGTTTTAATTACGTCCCCTTATAATTCTAATGATTTATCGCTTAAGACAATGACAAATATATATATTTTTTTGTTAATCAAATATAGTTAAAATATCTCCGTCGAGTCATATGTTTTAATCTAAATATTGTTTAATTGCTACATTGAAGAGCATTTTGTACAGAGTAAATGAAGTTTTATCTCTGAAAATGCATCACTTTTGTTGAAAGTTAGAAGCGGCCTTGAACTTATTGCCGCCATTTGTGATTCTGGACCTGCCAAAAATAACACTGACTTACTTTATCAAATAAATTGATGAAAATCATCATCAATATTCCAAAATGTACATCAAACAGGTAATTTTGCACCTATTGATTATGTTGACACTGTTGTTCTAAAATTTGCAAAAAGCCTTGTGATGCATTTTGAAGAATTGATATGGTGAAAATGTAAACAAAGGAAGAAGTCTGACCTCTTCATGCCAAGCAGAGTCTCAAGATTTCAATATAGACTTTCTAAAATCTACTTGCTTTCATTTGCATCGTGGACTAGGCTAAAATGAAAAAAATGGCTAAGTAAGCATAGATCTAATAAGACATAAGGCTTAAAGCTCCAAATGAAATATGTTTCCAGGACTGATCTAAGAACTTAAGGCCTAGATCTTTCAAAGCTTAAAATAAATCGGATATGCTTGGAACATGCTTTCTAGCATTCGTTTGGATGCAGCTTGGTGATAGTTGAATATAGTATGGTGAAAGCTAATTTATCTATCATTTTTTTTTTAGATGATCATTCAAGGGTTTCGGAGTTACAGAGATCAGACTATTATCGAACCCTTCAGTCCAAAACATAATGTCATTGGTAAGTATGTTACTGTAAGATACTAATTAGCAAGACACAATTTGTAGTTTATTATATTTAAAAGATCATTCATTTGGGTTGAATAAGTGAAGTAGAAACAGTTGTCAAGAAGTTGATTATGAATTTATTTATTAATCTTAACTTAAATTTAATATTTTAGTGGGCCGAAATGGATCTGGAAAAAGTAATTTTTTCTATGGTAAGTGACATGACAGTTATTATTTGCAATGCTTAAAATAAAAAATATGAAAATTAACTGCCTCCCCTGATGAATTCTTCCACATTATTTGTGGATATATCAGATGAAAATTATGATGTGACATTCAATGCTTTGTTGTAATTTTGCACAAAACAGGACTATATTTCTTGAATCCAGATTTACAGAAAATGTCTCCAGCGCATCATCAGGTCCTTTCTATTTCCTCATCTTCTAATGGTATATTTGATTCATTTCAATGATTGATTTTAAGCATTATTGTGACCATTTCAGCTATCCAGTTTGTATTATCTGATGAATTCAGTCACATGAGACCTGAACAGAGACAAGCTTTACTTCATGAAGGCACTGGTCCTAGAGTTATCTCAGCTTTTGTTGAGATAATATTTGATAATTCAGACAACAGAATTCCTGTAAGTATTAGCCTTTACCTGACGGTTTTTGCACCCATTTGGGTTAATGTAAATGGGGAAAAGATTTAGGAAAGATCATGAAGACAGAAATGATAATGATTGACCATTTGACTTTACCATTATAGATTGATAAAGATGAAGTAGTGTTAAGAAGAGTTATTGGTTCAAAGAAGGATCAATATTTCTTGGATAAAAAGATGGTCACGTAAGTAGTGTTTTTAAATGGAGGTTGTTGTGAATTGTTCACTCTGTTTGCTTTATTGGATGAATAACTTTATAATTTGATTCAAAATAATCACAATGGTACATAGAGATTTTTGTTTAAATGGCCTGTTTGGGAATAATTCAAAACATCAGTGGTTTACCTTATAGTGTGAATATTTTTTTTGAACGGTTTCAAGAGAAAATTGTCTATTCTATTTCCTTTTTTTACAGGAAAACTGATGTAATGAATTTATTAGAAAGTGCTGGTTTCTCTAGAAGTAATCCATATTATATTGTCAAACAGGGAAAGGTGAGTATTTATTTAGCATATAATGAAAATGAAGTGTCCTTTTCAGTGAGTGAGATATAAAAAATTATCTATATATCATTGTAGATCAATCAAATGGCTACAGCCCCAGATTCACATAGATTGAAATTATTACGTGAAGTAGCTGGTACTAAAGTTTATGATGAAAGGAAAGAAGAAAGTAAAGGCATTCTTGTTGAAACAGGTACAGTATATTTTTGTAACCATTTTGTTGGGCACCACTCTTTCCTTTCATGATCGCTGTAACTTTGTGCACTTGGATGATTTCCCTTTTTGACCATTGCTATGGTTATTCTTTTGGGGGCTTTTCTAGGTTACTTATTAGGTTATTGTGTTAAAAATAATATAAACACATGTCAAGCATATACACAACACAAGCTGTAGTTCATTGAAAGTAAAATGTTATATTTTAGAGGGTAAACGAGAGAAGATCAATGATCTGTTAAAATATATAGAAGAAAGATTAGATACACTAGAGAGTGAAAAAGAAGAATTAAAAGAATATCAGAAATGGGATAGAATGAGGAGGTGAGTTGGTGGTACGCCTGTTCTGGACCCTGTTCTGTCATTGCCAAATTAACAGGACATATAGGAGGTATTGGGGAATGAAGCAGGGATGAAATTATCAGGGTGGAATTTGTAAATGGAAGAAATTGCTATGGATGGAACATTAAAAGTGGGGAGACCACTACATGCCTATTTCACATATTGATTTTGAATGACAACTGATATGTTATTTAGAAATTGGAGACAATAGACAGAATATCACAATAGTTATATACAATTTATTTTACCTGTTTTTATAGATTTGATCTCTCTATTGTAGATCGTTAGATTATACCATACATGATCATGAGTTGAGAGACACAAGACGTAAACTAGAAGAAGTAAGTAATTCAGTTTGATCTAAAAACCTTTTGGGTGATCTTGTTAGCATCAAGCATGGTTAACATAATATGACAGTTTTCATTGGTTTGTAATATCACTTCTAAGTACACTTGGTACAGTTACCCAGATGTGTTGAGATTTTTTATTAGTTTCATCCGTTTTCATTCCTTCTCTTTCAGTTGCAAGAAAAACGTGACAATAGTGGAGCTAACACAACTAAATTACGAGATGGTCAACAAGAAGCTAATGATAAAGTCAAGGTAAATGGTTACTATATTCAATATTCAACAACTGGATTATTACAGAATAATATTGATATTACAGAATAATATTGATATTGATATTACAGAATAATATTGATATTACAGAATAATATTGATATTACAGAATAATATTGATATTACAGAATAATATTGACATTGATATTACAGAATAATATTGATATTACAGAATAATATTGATATTACAGAATAATATTGATATTACAGAATAATATTGATATTACAGAATAATATTGATATTACAGAATAATATTGATATTGATATTACAGAATAATATTGATATTACAGAATAATATTGATATTACAGAATAATATTGACATTGATATTACAGAATAATATTGATATTACAGAATAATATTGATATTACAGAATAATATTGATATTACAGAATAATATTGATATTACAGAATAATATTGATATTACAGAATAATATTGATATTACAGAATAATATTTATTTATTGATATTACATAATAATATTAATTTATTGATATTACAGAATAATATTGATATTACAGAATAATATTTATTTATTGATATTACATAATAATATTAATTTATTGATATTACTGAATAATATTAATTTATTGATATAACAGAATAATATTAGTTTATTGATATAACAGAATAATATTAGTTTATTGATATTACAGAATAATATTAATTTATTGATTTTACAGAATAATATTAATTTATTGATATTACAGAATAATATTAATTTATTGATATTACAGAATAATATTAATTTATTGATATAACAGAATAATATTAATTTATTGATTTTAATGAATAACATTAATTTATTGATAATACAGAATGATATTAATTTATTGATATAACAGAATAATATTAATTTATTGATATTACAGAATAATATTAATTTATTGATATTACAGAATAATATTAATTTATTGATATTACAGAATAATATTAATTTATTGATATAACAGAATAATATTAATTTATTGATATTACAGAATAATATTAATTTATTGATATTACAGAATGATATTGATATTAATTTATTAATAAGCCATAGTATTATGAAATTTTAATGCAGTCGTTAGTTAAGAATATCCTATATAACATTATGTTTATATTTAAAATTGAGTATCAGATTCTATGTTATGTTTATATTTAAAATTGAGTATCTGATACAATGTTATGTTTATATTTAAAATTGAGTATCAGATACAATGTTATGTTTATATTTAAAATTGAGTATCAGATACAATGTTATGTTTATATTTAAAATTGAGTATCTGATACAATGTTATGTTTATATTTAAAATTGAGTATCTGATACAATGTTATGTTTATATTTAAAATTGAGTATCTGATACAATGTTATGTTTATATTTAAAATTGAGTATCAGATACAATGTTATGTTTATATTTAAAATAGAGTATCTGATACAATGTTATGTTTATATTTAAAATAGAGTATCAATAAAGATTTGAAAGAGCTAAAAGGTAGAATGCAGGCTATGTTAGAAGAAAAAGATGGTTTGAGCAGTGAAAATCAAGATTTAACTAAAAGAAAAGCCAAGTTGGAACTGAATATGAAAGATATACAAGATGAGATGGAAGGCAATCAAAACACAAGGGTAAGTCTGAAAATATTTTAATTGTCCTGCTTAATTTTATAGTGATTGCAACTCATCATATGTTGTTGATGTTTCGGACATGAAAACCATCATCAGGTTTTGTGCTTTATACAATGTACTTTTCTCTCAATATTTTGTAATATCTTTTGATAATTTTAGAATAAAGCTGAAATAGAACTACAGAAAGTGAATGATAAAATCAATAAAACACAAGAACAGTTAGAGTCTATTATACCACTGTATGAAGAACAGAGAGATAGAGAGGAAACTACACAACAACAGTATGTATATAGTATTATCAATTGAATAACATTAATCATTAGGCTTTGCATCAGAATATCACTTCTAAAGCATATACCACCATTGCTTGTTAAAACTATTTTGATTGATTGTGTATTGTAGATTAGGTATATCGGAACAGAGACGTAAAGAATTATATGCTAAACAAGGTCGTGGTAATCAGTTTCAATCTACTAATGATAGAGATAACTGGATTAAAAAAGAATTAAAATCATTAAATAAAGCTATCAAAGATAAAGAAGAACAGGTATAGTATACTCAGTTTTGATGTGAAATTAACAGAGAGCCTGGGTAACATATTGTGGAAGATGCTGAAAGGTTCAGGGTTCAATCCCAGTATGATTAGAGAAAATACCTTGTTTAACCCGGTTTCCCCTGGTCTGATGGGGTGACATGGAAAAAGAAATTAGCATGCTTAAGATTATGCATTTTAAAGATCCTTAGACAGTTGGAAATAAAAAGAGAAAATGCTTATGCCTTTGTTCTTTCCAAATTCACTCATTGCTTACCGCACAGCTTCTTCATTAGCCCTTAAGATAGTAAATGGCAGAATGTAAAACTGAATTTCTTATATTTTCATTTCTTTTATAGATTAACAGACTTACAGAAGATACTACGAACTCTGAACATAAAGTTGAAACATTGAATCAACGTCTGGCGGTAAGATTCTTATTTTCTTTTTAATCTCAAATGTCATGAGATTGTTATTTTCTTTTTAATCTCAAATACCGTAAGATTCTTATTCTTGTTAATAAATTGTAGGAAACAACAGCTAAAATAGAACAACATAAAATTATTATAGATCAGAATAATAAAACTTTCAATGAGATGAAACAAAGAAAAGACACTCTACAGAATGAAAGAAGGTAAGTCTGTATAAATTTAGTATCTTATTTAACAAAGATCAGTTTGGATTATAAACATACCTTTAGTTCTATAAACTGAATCATTTTATTTTATGTGACATTTGGTAATGGAAGCTTTACAGATTAGCACCTATTAGATGATAAATTGGGCAGTAAAGTGGCCTCTAGTTGCAAAGCATACATTTAAAACGTATCAAAGATCCATGAATAGTTGTGTACTATGTTGTTTCTTAATTTGATAAACTGTGTCGATTTCAGTTCATTATGGAGACAAGAAAATACATTACAACAAACATTACAAACTACTAGAGAAGAACTGAGTAAAAAAGAACAAGGTTTAAGATCTCTTACTGGCAAGGTATCTATTTGTATTTTGGCTCCTTTTCTGATGCCCTGTGTGCTACAGGTTGAGCATGTTTTCGATCTTTCACCAGTTGGAAATTAAAAAAGAGTAGTGTCCTGGAATAGTTCCTTCGTTGCATAATGCATGGTGTTGCCTGTCTTCATAAGCCCAATATAGCATGTCTTTTTACAGGCTTTCCAAGTGGCAAATCAAAAAATATGTTTAGGACATTTGATGATAATTAGTTTACCTCATTGTACAATGCTGTATGTTTTCAGTCATTATTAAATGGTATAGACAGTGTAAATAAAGTGTTACAAGAATTAAAAGATCAAGGTCGTATGGATGTTGTCAATGGTTACCATGGTATACTTATTGAAACATTTGATTGTGAAAAAACTTTCTTCACATGTGTTGAAGTTACTGCTGGTTCAAGGTAATATTTCTAAGGCTACTGTAAAGAGACAAGATACATCTCTATTCACAGATTCGCAAGAAGGATTGACAACTGAATATTGACCAATCCTCCTAAAATCAGCCGCCATGTTCTGTGGTGATAATAACACTGTACCTAAGTGGGCAGAGCTTAGGCTGTTCTTGTAGATTCGTGACTTCTGTATTATGTGCGTTTTTCCTTTATTATTGGTGTGTGTCTATATTTGGCAAATTGATTTCACAAATACTGATTGAATTGAATCATATTTTAGAATTTATGTTAAAATTTTCTAGATAAGTTTCTAGAAATAGGGGCAGACCTGTGCTTTAGTGTGCCCTGAAAGTACATAGATGTATATTATGTACCAATATATCTATTAAAACATATTATTTTAGGTTGTTTCATCATGTAGTAGATACAGATAAAACTGGTACTAAAATCTTACAAGAAATGAATAGAATGAGACTGCCAGGAGAGGTTACATTCATGCCTTTAAATAGGTTAGATGCTAGAGACACACCATATCCACAAACAGCTGTAAGTTATACATTCAATTCTATTAGAGGGGTGCTCAATAACCTGAAATTACAGGGTTCAATCCCAGCATAATACTTTCAGATATTTCAACCCTGTTTCCTCCTGTCAATGATGCAGGTCTGAGGGGTTGACATGTAAAAAGATTCTAGTCTTTTGAAAGGATCAATAAACCATTCCATGTGCACATGAAAAATACTTTAACATATGGAAATCCAAAAAAGACTTGGCTAATATGATTTTCTTGCAAAATCTCCCTCAAATCCGGAGTTATTCAGCTTCATAAGCCTAATCAGGTGCAGAAAAGTAGGACTTCATCTCATTTAAATTCTAGACATGACTTTCTCTATGACATTGTATTTTCATTATATTTTAGGATGCCATACCAATGATTAATAAATTAACATATTCTGATACATTTAGTCCAGCTATTAAACATGTGTTTGGTAAAACATTAATATGTCGTAGTATGGAGGTAGCTACCCAAATAGCTCGAACACAAAATGTTGATTGTATTACTTTAGATGGTATGTTATACTGTTCATATTTAGATGCCTGAATTATTATTCTAGTCTAATTCTAAGACATCACATAGTTAAATTAGTCAAAGACATGCATTTGATATATATACTTAGTCCAATCCTTATAATGGCTCAAAGCTGATAAAGGCTGCTTGAATAGTCAGGCGAGGATGTTCCTGCTCAACTTGATCCAAAAACATAAAATGAGCAATCCACTTTGTTGTTAAGGTGGAATGAATAGTAATAGAAACTACACAGAGTAACTAATGATGGGTTGATTATTACTTAAAACTACCTTTAAAGATGGGTTTCCTTATTTTTTAGTGTCAAATTAAGCAAACTATTTGATTAATTGGTCTTTTTTGTGAATTATTATGTATTCTTAATCATATCATTATGTTCTTATTGCATATAATTAAGAGTCTTAACCAATCACAAATGTCCATGTATGTTTAGTCTGGATGAACAAAAAAAAACTTTTTGACCTTTCTTGATCAGTCACTCATTAGAATTCTGCTGGTAATTCTCTTCTAATTTAGCTAATTATGAATTATGGACATTGGGACCAACTTGTATTTTTTCAAGTCATTAGAACATCTCTACTTTCATTCATATAAGTATTAGCATTTTCAGAAATGAAAATAAGAGAACCCATCTTTAGATAAAATGGACTACTCGTATCCACCTCTTTAGATTTTGATACTCATACTTGTTATTGAATTGACAGGTGATCAAGTGAGCAGACGTGGAGCTTTAACTGGTGGTTTCTATGATACCCGTAGATCTCGTCTAGATTTACAGAAGAGTAAAATAGAATTAACACGAGAACTTGGTGTACAGGAAGCTGAATATCAGACACATCGTACTAAATTAGAGGAACTAGAAGGACAAATTAATAACATTGTTAGTGAGATGCAGAAATTAGAAACTAAAAATAGTAAAAACAGGTAACTTTAGCATAATATCAAGTTTATCTTAGCTAACCTTTATTCCTTTATAACTTTTAATCACAAAATATGATCTGTAGGCTAAGCTAAATTAAATCTGAAGTGTTGAAGATATATTCTATTAAACCATCAAAAAATAACAATCAATAGTCAAGTAAATTAAAATTATGGCCTTAATTCTTATTTGTTTATTATTTGCAGAGATATATTTGAGAAGATGCAAGCTGATGTTAGATTAGATAATGAAGAATTAAAACAAACATCTAAAACACAGCCTGGCAAGGTAATAATCTTTCTTACACAAAACTCATTCCATGACTGTGACAGTAATATCATAACTCGCAATCTTGTTTATTTTCTAGAACTATAAACTTATACGTCCTGTGTCTGTGCTTTTGTAATATTGTTTTCATTGCAATGTTACAAACTCTATTCGTCGTTTATTTAAACCAAAGTTCTTTGTGTCATGTATGTAATTCCTTCTTTTACTGTCGGTTTGAATGGTCCTCAACATGAAAAATTCTCCATGGCCGGTGCTCTTATGAATTGGCCCGCTGTCAAATTCTTAAAAACTGAAAATCAGTTCAGCTTTGATTTGAATTACAGGGCAAAAGTATAACAAGTTTACAGAGTAGTTTAGAAGCTATGAGAGGATCAGCTATGTCATTAAAAGAAGAATTAGGAACAGATTTAATGTCTCAACTGAGTGTAGATGATCAGAGAGAAGTAGACTATCTTAATGATCAAATTAAACAGTTAACTTTACAGAATAGAGAGGCATGGCAGGAACGATATAGGGTATGTTATTTCTCATTCTCTTAAACATTAATATAAACGGTCTTGATAGCAATTTCAATCTGAAATCAAACTACACGCTGTGTTTTACCGTAGTGAAAGCAGTGATGAAGGTCTAAAAAAATATTTCTGGTTTGCTTAAATAAGTATAATTAATGGTATGGTTAAGATGATATAACTATTTACTAACTATGTTAGCAATCTGTTATGTTACATTGCTATGTTTTCCTTCTGTTTTGTTTACATTTTGATGATTTCGAATTGTTTTACATAAAATTTTTTATAATGTTATGTTTACTTTAGGATGGTGTTTAAAATGAAACATGGTTATCTTTCTGTTATGTTCACAGCTATATGTTTATGTGATGTTTCTATAATAATGTTAAAGATAGTGTTCACAATGTGTTATCTGTTATGTTCACAGCTATATGTATATGTGTTCACTGTGATGTTTCTATAATAAAGTTAAAGAAAGTGTTCACAATGTGTTATCTGTTATGTTTACAGTTAGAAGGAGATAAAAATAAACTAGAGAATTTATTAAATAATAATTTAATGAAGAAAAAAGAACGTATTATGACTGATTTACAAGAAGTTTCAGTTGAAGATAGAACACAAAGATTAGAAACTTATAATGCTGAGATGCAAACTGTAGACGCTAGAATAAGTGAGCTAAAGAAACAGTCTAAAAGTAAGTATAGACAGATGTTAATTTTATATAGATTTGAAATGTGAATTAGAAGAACACACACATGTAGACTCCTGATGAAGGTTTTGACAATCCAATCTATCAGCTGTTTCATGGATACAA